AGTGATTTGCTCGACAAAAAATACACCCTGGTATAACAAGAATATTAAGGCAGCTCAAAATTTGAGAGACAAACAATACAATAAATGTATATTCACAAAATCAAATGATGATTGGGAGGTATATAAAACTCTTAGGAATAAATGTGTATATATAATTAGAGAAGAAAAAAGGAAATTCTACGATAAACAAATCGATAATAACAAGTGCGACAGTGTAAAGATGTGGAAGACTTTAAAAAGACTGATCAATTCGAAGCCGCATGATTGTGTAAATCAAGTTCAATTCGAAAACGGTACCGAAACAAATTCTTTGGTGATTGCAAACAAACTAAATTAATATTTTGTGGAAAGTATTGTTGATATTGTGAAAAACTGTTTCGAAATTTTGGGATATCCTGTATTAAATTGGATCAATTGTTCACTGAGAAGCAGTTCTTTCCCTGAAAATTTGAAATACTCTACAATAACACCAGTTCCCAAAATAAAAAATTCTAAAAGATATGAGACCAGTAAATGTGCTACCAGACATTGAAAAATTATTAGAGTCCATAGTGCATGACCAATTAATGCAGTTTATAGAAGAAAACAAAATTTTAGTGGAGGCGCAAGCAGGATTTCGAAAAAAATATTCCACACAAACAGCTTTCCAGTTCGTAACTGAGAATTGGAGAACAGCCATAGACTCAGAAGAAGTTGTCATAGCAGTATTTTTGGATTTGAAGAGGGCATTTAAAACGATTGAGAGATATTTTGTTAGGTAAATTGAAGGCATATGGTATATCAGGAAGTGTTTTAGATTGCTTTAGAAATTATTTGTCTAAAAGGATGCTAGTTAAAAAGTTAATGACACTATTTCATCAAAAATTGAAAATACGTTGGGTGTTCCACAGGGCAGTACCCTGGGACCACTTCTTTTTATTTTATACATAAATGATTTACCTGCCATAGTCAAAAAATGCAAAATCCAGATTTTTGCCGATGACACTATGATTTATATAAGTACTAAAAATATTCAGTCTGGTATCTCTTATATAAATGAAGACTTGAAGCTTGTCTCAAAATGGTTAGCATCTAACAGACTAAAATTAAATGCAAGTAAAACGAAAGCCTTGTTAATCGGAAAAAACAATGTACAAATGTTCAACTGAATATTGATGGTGAAGATATTGAATTCGTAGAAAATTTTAAATACCTGGGGGTTTTTGTTGACTCTCGATTAATTTTTGATATTCATTATGAAAAAGTTATAAATAAGATTAGTAGTAAAGTGGGATATTTATCGAGAGTTTCTGGATGTCTGAGTTCATATAGCAGAAAAATTATCTATAATACCATCATTCTTCCAAATTTCTTGTACTGTTCGACTATTCTATATTTAGCAAATAATTCCATTTTTAAAAGACTGCAAATTTTACAAAATAAGTGCATGAGAATAATACTAAATAAAGATAAATATACTCCAATTAGGCAAATGCTTAGCAAATTAAAATGGCTCAATGTAAAAAATAATATATTTCCATCAAGCCTAACTAATTTAACATCATCAAATGTCGACCATCATTTACATAATACCAGAAATAAAGATGACTTCCATTTAATGACCAAAAAGGATAACATATGCTACAAATCTGTATTCCATCAAGGGTTGATTGAATATAATAAATTATACTCAGAGATAAAAGACCAGAAAACTTTGACAAAATTTAAAGTAAAATTGAGAAATCACTTGTCAAATCTACAATTATAGGTTGCCCAGCATTTACATCATACACCATATGGCTTGAATTTACTAGTTCTAAGTTGTTTACAATTGTTCTGTTTATGTAGCCAAATGTGCTAAATAAATCTTTCTACTACTACTTCTAAATAATCCAATTACTTTGTCTCTTAAGTCTTTTGAAAATTCTTTCACTTGTTCCATTCTCACTGATGTTAATTAATATTTACCGCACGCAATATCAGAGTATCGCAGAACGAATAAATACGGCAAAACTGAGATGTTTCCATACTTTTGTCGTTACAAAAACTGTGGTGTTAAAAAAAACTCGTGTTTTTATTGTCAAAGAATTTCAATATTAATAAGATTAGCCTTGTATTAGTACGGGTGACCAAGGTAGCCTTTAATATTTATATTTTTTGTACCTTCACAATTTTAATTTAGGTATATGAAATAGTTCATGTTAATATTTGTTTCCAAACTTTTGTCCGCCACTGTAAATACAAACAGGAAAATAAAATATAGTCAACGCCAAACAAAGTGGCGTGCACGTCATCAAGGTGGGTGTGTTGAAAAATTTACATTGTTGCCAAACTTTTTGTAAAATAATAAAATTTATTATTTACATATCTAGGTTTATAAGCAATATTAACCTCAAATGAGAACAAAAATAATAGTATAATAAAATTATAGATCTGTACTTGCATAATCATTAAGTATGACAATTATTGATCAGATGACACTATGAAACTACCATATTTAATTGATAGCTTAAAGGTACTGAATAAAAATCCAAATGGGGTCCTCCAAATTTTATGCATGGTATTTATTTTACAGAATTCATACAGAAAAATGCATTCTAAAATTAGGTAAGCTACTGGTGTAAGCTTTTTCTGTACAATAAAGTTAGTCGGAGTTTCTTTCTTCAGCGCTGTCTGAATCTGAATCTTCATCACTCTCAAAGTTGATTATTAAAGGTTCGATGTCTGGTCGATCAAAAATTCGTTCTATTTCATACCATTTAAAAATTTCTTGCTCAGTATGTCGAACACTATTTTTCCACATGTCTGGGGTAACCGTTTGTAGAGCCTCGTTCCACATATCCAAACAGTCTTTTTCACTGTTACCATCTCTACCAATATGTCTGTTATAGTAACCTTTTGCTATGCCCCAAATTAACTCAATAGGGTTAAATATACAATGGTAAGGAGGCAGACGAAGAACTTTGTGCCCATGTTGTTCCGCCAATTCATCAATCACGTATATTTTAGGTGGTTTGTTTCTAAAAAAGCAGTTATTTTAAGAATAGGAATAAACAAAAGAAATATAAACTGTCGACCAAAATATATATAATTAAGAAGCATTATGTACCGGGCAACAATACTCAATAGCTCTGTTTTAAACATTGTGTTTAAAAATGGTATGTTTTGATTTGTCAACCAGTCTTGGATATTTTTTTTTGTCCATGCATTGTTGGGCACTTTGTTCAATATCATGCTGTGATAAGGGGCGTTATCCAGTATAATTTTTCTAATAACTGATGTTGAAACCATTTCAAAAAATTGTCCTGGTTCATCTCTCCATGGTAATCGCTCAATTTTGTTTTCGAAGAAAATATCGCTTCACTACCCTCAATAAACCCATTTTCATTTCCAGCATGTAATATAATGTATCTAAAATATATTAGTTTTAAATTTTATAGTGCAAATTGTGTAAAAGTACATACCTTTTACCATCTGTTTTAATAGCTTTCACGCTTTTTTGGTTTCCATTTTGCCAAGAGCGACCTATGGTCCCATTTTGAAATATCCAAGTTTCATCGAGGAAGACAAACTGGTATAAGGCCTCAACCTTGGCTTGATTGTATTGCCTTAGAAATTCCACCTTTTTCAAAGCTATACTTGGTAGTTCCATGCGCCCTCGTCGCGGATTGTCCTTAAGCCACTTAAATCCAAGACCTCTAAGCAACCGCCTTAAAGACGTGGCACTACCATCAAATAATGCCCTATCTCTTAATCGAGACCATAAAGTTTGTATCGTAACTTGTTCTTCTGAAACCATGTGTAATATGACATTATAATTTAGTTAACAAATTAATGCAAATTTCTGATAAGTTATTATAATAAGATCTTACTTTTGTGATACATATTATAGATCACTTCTCGAATGGCACTTGTATCCAATGTCGCTGTGTTGGTTACACGTTTAATATAACTCCGCTTTTTCTTGGGCGATTCTAAATTTGCATCACTTTTCACACCCTCGGAAATACGACTAACTGTCCTTTTTAAAGCAGCAGCAACACGCTACAAAAAATGAAATAAAATTTCACTATTATTAATATACATTACATATAATTATTAGTAACCTACCTCTTGAACAGCATTTAAAGGCAACAAAGGCCCGTTGTTGTCCCTTTCTTGCTCAAAGTAGTGCATTAACGAGGCCACGAGTTCCTTACACCGACTATTTAACTGTTTGGGCATCTTTATATACCAAAATTGCCTTTATCTACTCGTAAAATGAATAATTTTGTTTTGAAACAAACAGTTGTTGATTTACAGTATGCGGGGCCAAAGGATTTATAAAGATTTGAAATGCCACAAATTGATTCAGTGTCAAAATGAATACAAATGTCAGTTCCCAGTTTAAATAAGTTTCAAGGTGACAATGTGTCAACGCTGCGAAATCGGTTTAGTGCGTTTACATGTCGATAAGTGATTGGAGCGTTTGCAAAACATTTTATTTCGCATAATGCGTCTAAATTTGTCAGAAAGCAACTTATGTGATATTTTAATAACAATGTTTATATGACTATTAACCATAATAAGAGAGTAATGACCATTTTACAATTTATATATCACATTAATATGAAACTGCAATAGAGCAATTGTTTGTGATAGAAACCTAGGCATTAGGTCGGGAAATTTTTACCGTGATGACGTGCACGCCACTTTGTTTGGCGTTGACTATTCATCTTTGCTCATATGACCACCGAACGTAGTAAAGGTAGTACACCTACACCGTTTTTACATTGGCGAGATTGAGAAACAAATTTGTATGAAAAACTATTTTGACTTTATGAACATTTGGACTGATTGAAATCATTCATCACCCGATCAACTGATAAGTTGGATAGCAAAAAAAGCATTTATAAATGGGGTAATTATCGCGGCCATAGGGCATTCACCATTTCATCCCAAGCATATTTTTGTAGCAATCGACAATCTATCATTATCCTCGATACAGAATGATTTGCACAAGTCGTTTTCATGGTAAGTACCTGTTGATTAGGCGGCATTCCCTGTTGACCAGAGGGCATTCCTTGTCCCGGGGGCATCTGATGCTGGTTACTAGGCGTCGGCATTCCATGATGACTACCGGGTGGTGGTGGTATGCCGTGCTGACCCATCATCGCCTGTTGAAATTGCGGATTGGTGGGTAACTGGGTATGCGACGCGCCCTGAGGGAACCCTGGAGGAGCCCCCGGCATCTGGTGGGGCAGCGACTGGGAATTCAGACTACCTGCAATACAATTTATAAAGCAAGGGTTAAAACTTTAGGCTATTTGTCCTGCCGCTTTGTTCAGGGTGCAGGCGCCTGAAGAAAGTCACTGGACATCGGTTTTTATTAAACAGAGTTTTGGCGATTACAAATACCTCATACGAAAACGTTAACAATAACTTATAATCGAAGCTTTGACTGTGTACATCATGATATACTATTAAAAAATTTAAACAAATATGGTTGTATTGGAACTTCACTCAATTGATTAAAAAGGTATTTTAATAATCGATCCCAAATTGTGAAAATACCAAGACATTATATTTCAAATACATTAAATCACTGGACAACAAATTTCAGTTTTTTAATTGTATCATGTGGGAAAAGTGCACTTCATTGTTAATTTTGGGACGCTGAATCCAAAAATGACAATAAATAAAAAAATTAGTTGCGGTTTAGAAAAAAAACTTTTTATTTTTAAGGATATATTAAAAAAAGTAACAAGATTCATATACTTATAAGCGCTGTCTTTTGCTGTTCTTTTATGGATCGTTTCTGGAGCATCTCTACCAAGAGTCCAACAGTAGTCTGCAAGCATGGAAGGATTCCACTTTTCCTGGTACCTTTTTTTCATTGTTGAAATATCCTGATGAAAACGTTCGCCGTGCTCATCACTTACGGCTCCGCAATTGTCAGGAAAAAAGTCCAGGTGTGAGTGTAGGAAATGTATCTTAAGAGACGTATTACAGCCCATCTTTTGATACGATGACAGCATATTTTTGACAAGGGTTTTATAGTTGTAAGCTTTTCTATTTCCCAAGAAATTAGTGACCACCAGACGGAAATCATTCCAAGCAGTTTTTACAATACCTGTTAAAGTGTTTTCAAACTGTGTATCTTTCAAAATATTTCGAATCTGTGGCCCAACAAAAATACCTTCCTTAACCTTTGCCTCACTTAGTCTTGGAAATTTCTGACGCAGGTATTGAAAAGCTGACCCATCTCTATCTAATGCCTTGACAAAGTTTTTCATTAGGCCCAACTTGATAAATTTTTTTTCGAATCTACTAATGGCATATGCTGTACATTTTTTTGACCTGGCTCTAGGAATTGACGAACAGGCCAGTTTTGTCTGGTGTAATGAACTGCCTTTGCCCGACTGTCCCATTCACACAAAAAACAGCAAAACTTTGTGTAGCCTAGCTGCAGCCCAAGTAAAAGTGCAACAACTTTCAAATCGCCACAAATATGCCATTGGTGCTCATCGTATTTTATGCATGTCAATAGGTACTTCATATTGTCATATGATTCTTTCATGTGAACTGCATACCCTACAGGAAGAGATGGTAAAATATTTCCAATATGCAATAACACTGCCTTTAAACTCAATGTTGAACTGTCTATAAACAATCTCCATTCTTCTGGGTTATAGTTTATATTTAAAGCCGCCAGTAAGCCGTTAATGTTACTGCAGAAAACCAACTAATTCTCCATATTGAAAAATGGTTCTAAGTCTTTGTGGCGTTTACGAAAAACACATACCGAAACATCGTCTTCTAACAAGTTCCACTACTGCAGTCTTGATCCAAGTAACTCTGCCTTACATTTTGGAAGTTCTAAATCTCTTCTTAATTCTGACTGTGTTATTTTGTGCGGTTGGTGGCATGACGTGCTCGGTATAAAATCAGGATCTCTTGACATTGATGGCATATCTTCTTCCTGACGAATCACTCGATCGCCATGATCTGATTCGTTTTCTGATTCGCAAGTGTAGGATTCTGGGGGTTTTGGAATAGGATTTTCGTCACTGTGAGGCACAGGTCTCATCGCAGATGGTATGTTTGGGTAGTTAATAACCGATTTTTTTTTCTTGGACATACCTGTGGCTTGTCCAACACAAGGTACCATGCAAAAGTAACAATCATTAATATGATTTGTAGGCTCTCTCCAAACCATTGGGACAGCAAAGCGCATAGACCGTTTTTTGCCATTTAACCAGCTCCTCAGACTTGAAGCACATGTATTACAGCAGATGTGGGGTGCCCACTGTTTGTCTTGATCGCCTAGTTTACAACCGAAATAAAGCTGATATGCCTTTGTTATTAGTGGAGTAATAGACCGTCTCTGAGACGCAAAAGTCACATCACCACACACGTAATAAAACTGATCTGGATTGTTTACACACTTTCGAGACATCTTGCATGAACGCTGTCAGCCAACTGAGGAAAAAATGGCTAATATAAAACAATATAATGTACACGTATGTATAACGTAACACAATCATGCCGATTACATCATCTTTCCTTGCCGGATATAAAAATGTAGCACGTGCGTTCTTGTGAATTACAGTATATTAACACTGTCACAGCAGGAACACATATAATTACCGTATCTCTAAAACTTGAACTAATATTGAAAAAATAAGTTTCATTCCGGTTTTAGCACATTAAAAATAGTGATATTTTGTGATTTTATTTAGGATATTTTTTGGCTGTTGATCAGTGATATTAATCCAGGGGTACCTCAAGGATCAGTATGAGGTCCGATCCTATTCTTAGTCTATATCAATGATTTAATAAGCCTAAGCCTAAATGGTATATTTGTAGTTTTTGCTCACGATATCACAATGCTTTGGTAAGACACAGATATAAATGAAATTAAGGCTAAAATTGATAGTGATATACAATCAATCAAAAAATGGTGTGACAAAACTTACTTGACTTTCAATGTTAATAAGACAAAATGTATGACATTTACATGTCCCCTTGATCTTTTAAATTTGAATAATGAATTGCTTTTTTGTTTTAAGATTTATTTAGCTATTGATTGCTACAATTATATATTTTTAAAAAACTACAACAATTACATAACATACAGATATTTAGAAAAACAAAATATGCATCTCTAAGAATGTTCCCTGTCCATGAAATATTCCTTCAATTTTCTTTTAAACATATTTAAATTACAAGCAGACTTTATATCATTATTTAGTTTATTAAATTAATGTGTTCCTTACTGAAATATTGATTTGTTAGTTATATTACTATTGCAATTCCTCTTGTATAATAATGATGGTAATGATTCAATTCTATTTAGTGTTCTAAATGTTGTGGCAAAATATGCGGTTTTATTTTTTAAATATAAAAATAAGAACAACATATTGTATGAAATTTTTTATATTCAACCGCTACTTGTAACATAGATTTTATTTTCGTGTGCTTGTTTTTATTCAATATTATTTCTCATAGCTTTATTTTGCAGCACTTGTCATTTTGAGAATACAGCTTCATTGACAATGAACAAGATAGTTGAACAATATAGTAAATGCGGTAGAATAATATTTTATTATTAACTATTTTTTTGGAATATGTACCAAGAAGCCCTATAAAAATAATTTGTTTTTTTTGGCAATTTTTTAAATAGTGTTATCGTAGTGATCCTCAAACTTTAGTTTACTATCAAATATTTAATTGATTCAACATTTTCAATTATTTCACAATTTATCCTAACTGTGATAGTATTTTCAGTTAGGTGTTTCCCTAAAAGCATACATTTTGTTTTAGAAGCATTCAATTTCATTTTATTTACATTCAACCAATCTATGATTTTTGCCAAGAATTTAGAATCTGCAAATATCTGAATTTTACAATAAAATACTGCAAATGTCATTAATGTATAAAATAGATAGTAGTGGTCCTAGTATACAACCTTGTGGTACACCAACACAAATATTGAGCTTGATAATGTAGATACAAATTTGGTTTGTAGAATTTTGAAAACAGATCCTTTAAATCCATTGTGATGCAATTTTGTCCCTGTCGATAGTTTCAAACGTTCTATCTGTAACTGTATCTTTCCTATTGGTTATACATCTCCTCCAGTCCTCTAAAACCATTTATATTGCCGTTTCAATTGAATGTTTCTTCCTGAATCCAGCTTGAAACTTGGTCAAAATTTTATTTACTTGAATCGCAACGAAAATTTTGGCATGTGATAATATCGATCTTGTATTTTCAAATTATCATGGAAGTGTCAAAATTATCATAGCGAATCAAGTATATCGCCAACAGGCGCCATCGAAATCAATTTTACGGTCGAAACTCATTCAGAATCAGGCCCCATATCTGTTTAATTTTTTCAATTGTATATCATGATTTACACAATCAAAAGCTTTGGGAAAGTCACAGGAGGAAGAGCTATTGAAATCTGTTCATCGTTTAAATTTGAGTATAGCTGTTGGAGTAATGTAAAAATAGCATCCATGGTATTTGTTTGTTTATGAAAGCCAAATTGGTTGTCACTTACAGTATTGTTGATTTTTAGGGTCGCTTAATCTAATTTGAACTATTTTTTATGTTATTTTTGGTATAACAGTGATTAAACTTATGCATCTATAATTTTCACGAATATTAATTGGGTCTCCTTTATGAATGGAATAATAGTTGATATTATTAAAAATTCTGGGAAAACACATGTGTTACGATTGGGGTATTTCTCAACAAATTTAGAAATATTATTTTGCATTTCTTAAAAAAAAATAATGAAGATATATCTTTTTTTTGCAGAAATATAAAGTTTTACTATAGTGAGTTTCCTCCATATTTTTGTGTATAACTTGTAGAAAAATGACTTTTAAAAAATTATGAAATGAGGGAATGACTGATAGGATGTGGGAATGATTTTTACAACAATTTGATGCTGAATTTCTATAAAAAACATAAGTTAATTTATTAATAGATATATTGAGATTTGTTTCATACTTTAGAGAGCTTAGATAGTCCTTCTTCCTCGTATTTTCATCCATCTCTAAGAAATGAACAACATCACCCTTAACTTTCAGCATTTTGGAGTACAGTTCTTTTTGTACGTATCGTTTTTGAAAAATGTTTCGATCTCTATAGCAATTTGTATCTTTTGTACTAATTGCATTTTCAAGATTTTGTAATATTTTTTTTCTCCATGTTTACTTCCAAGATCTTCATAGATATTCTTGAGGTTCGTTGACAGTGCTTCTCCGAAAATTAGTATTTTTCTTTCACCTCAGGAACTTGTATATTCTTTAAAAGCGAAGACCCATTAGTTGCTGGAGAGTTTGGGTCAGTATTTTTAGTTTTCAATCTCAAACACCTCTTCTTATATTTTTCGCTAAGCTTGACTGCGTTCCTTACTTTATTTTCCAAACTTTAAATCTTCGCGTACAGAATAGTTCGCCGCTTGCGCATTGTACGTCTATTGGGAGCAGACAAATTCTCTGGTCTGTGCTGTAAAGATGGTGCAGGACGTGGTGTTTCTTCATCTGTTCTCTGTAAATCTGTTTGTGATGTAACTCGCTTTTCCCTATAAACTTTACTATTCTTTTTCCATTGTTTTCGTTTTTGGCTAGTTTCTCTTGGAACTCATGGAACTTACTGACCTAACTTGACTTCTTCTTTAAATACTTTAATCTTTCTTTTTCACGCAAATCTTCTAAAGACTCGGCATTAATTTTCATTTGTTCTCGCCTCTTTCTGTCGTAATCTTTCTTTTTTAATTTCTTTTCTTCTTCACTTAACTTCATTTTCCCCATTCTTGATATACGAAGTTAAACAATAACACAGAAACCACAATTTTATATATGCAACATTCATTCCCTCATATAATTTTTATTGCCTCACGTTATAATCTAGTGAGGGAATGACCGTGAGGGAATGACGGATTTGCATAAACGACACCGTAACCAACAGTACATCACCGCAAAACAAGAAAAAAATCATTAAAACATTCGAACAGTATAATGACTTACCTTTTAATATACTAAGAGACATATAAATCCGAACACCCAGTTTAAATGGTTTTATTTTAATAAAATTTTGTATAAGTACGTAATGAAGCATAATAAGTAAATGATAAAAATTTCAAAATGATTGCACTGCTTTAAAGCCCTTTGACCTTTAATAATGTGTGGATGCACCCTGATGTGCTACGCATTCTCCAACGCGCCTAGGCATGCTTCTGATCAGGTGGTCAATGTTCTCCTGTGGTATCTCATTCCAGGCAACCACCAACTCCTCTCGAAGTGCTTCTAGAGTCTGAGGAGGACGTTGCAAATTGAGCAATCTCCTACCCATCATATCCCACACGTGCTCAATTGGGGATAAGTCGGGAGATCTTGGTGGCCATGGTAACAATGTGATATCATTATGTTGAAAGAAGTATATTGTGACTCTTGTAACATGTGGTCGGGCATTATCTTGTTGGAAAGTTGGATCTGCCAGGGTGTCAAGATAGGGTAAAAGATGGGGTTCATGTTACCTCTGATGAAAATTAAAGGTGACCTGGAACCATAAGCTATAGCACCCCAAACCATAACTCCAACAGTGTGATGAACATGTCTTTCAACAAAAAACTGTGGATTCCTCCTTTCACCACGTCGCCTTCTAACCCTGGCACGACCATCGTGCATGCCTAAACAAAATCGAGACTCGTCACTAAAGAGAATACTGTTCCATTCCTGATCCCAGAGTGACCGTTGTCTGCACCACTCAAGGCGATTACGTCGAGTTAAAGGGAGGACCCAGTGTGGCCGGTATGAAAACAAGCCAAAACTTCTCATTTGTCGGTAAACACTTCGCATGCCAATAGGTCTTCCGTGTTCTGCAAGCAATGGACCTGGTAGTGGAGAAACGGTCCCTTAAGGTCAATAATCTTAGGCGGCGATCTTCACGGTCTGTTGTTCTACGGCGGCGTCCAGTGCCCCTTGCTCTTTGCGTACGGCCTTCTCGAATCCATGACTGACAACACCTAACCACACTGTCTACACTTCTTTGCACTCTAACTGCAATTGCCCGAAAAGAAAGTCCAGCTTCCCGAAGTCCCACTATACGGCCCCTATCAAACTCACCAAGTTGACGAAATCGTACAGGTCTCCGTACTCTAGGCATCGTAACTGATCGTAAAGGATGTCAAGAACCAAAATCCGGCAACGTTGATTCTTCACTGCGGTTGAAATATTCATTTTTAGAGCGTTAATGAATTATAAAAAAGCAGTATAAAAACCGGAATGTCCAACTGATGAGGCTGAAAATTTTTTCACTTGTTATTTACAGTAAGATAAATACATTCACCAACTTTTATTAAAATAAAACCATTTAAACTGGGTGTTCGGATTTATATGTCACTTAGTATATAAACAGTGAGGTAATGACACAGAGAAATATAATGTTCTAATTATTGAAAACCAATACTTTTTTTGCAGCAACTCTTACTATTAAGAAATTCCGCCATGTTGACATTATCAGCAGTATTGCCAAGTCTTAAAAACAATGATTTCATTTCAAGGGACATAGTTTAAATAAATTTTTTTACATGCATATTTATTTTTTAGCAATGAAAGCTTGACTATACAATCCATACTTATTACCAAATATTTCAGTAATATTCAATTTGTAACAATATGAACAGTTGTGATTGTATATATTTATTTATCATTATTAATTTCAGACCCAGGGACGAGATGAGGGAATGACTTTTATACTAATAAATTAATCGTATTTTTTGTGTCAATATATTATCTAAATTTTTTCTTTAAAAATATTAGTGTTGATACTTATTGATATAATAAAAATGTTAAATTGACGATAAATCCATGCAACAGTATCTGGACCCAAAGACTCCTGTTGATATAATCTACTTAGATTTTTCTAGGGCTTTGGATCGCGTACCACATAGAAGGCTTCTGTTTAAGTTGGAATGTATGGGAATAAGAGGCGAGTTGTTACTGTGGATTAAGGCTTTTCTCACCGGGAGGACTTTCTCTGTGCGCGTCAATGATAGCCAGTCTCACTTTCATCATGTAGCAAGTGGAGTTCCTCAAGGCTCTGTCTTGGGGCCAGTGCTGTTCCTTCTGTATACAAGTGACCTGCCCGCATTGATTTCCTCCACATGTTCAGCCAAGATTTACAATACTGTCGTAAATTCTGCTATGCTTCAACGAGATCTTGATATTGTTTGTCAATGGTCAGTCAGTTGGCTTTTACCCTTAAATCTAACTAAGTGTTGTGTCCATCACCTCGGGAAGACAAATCCGCGAATTACATACAAGATCTCTGACCACAACATCGAAGCAGTTTCCAGCCACACTGATCTGGGCGTTGTAGTCAACGATCGTCTTTCCTGGTCAGAGCATATTCACCACGTTACATCAAAAGCCAAGAAACTTCTATACATGCTGGAGAGGTCTTTCAAAGGATCCGATGTCAACACTTGCGCCTACATTTACAAAGCATTCGTGAGGCCAATTCTTGAATTCGCTGGCCCGGTATGGGACACTGTGCTTCTGCGCGATAGAAATCTCGTCGAATCAGTACAGCGTCGGGCTACTCGTATCCCTTTTGGAGCACAAAGACCAAGCTATGAAGATCGCCTTGAATTATTCAACCTGACCTCATTCTCTGAGCGAAGACTTCGTGGAGATCTTATAGTTACGTTCAGGATACTTCATGGTTTGATGGGCACCAACCTCATGCATCTATACCGTCTGTCGCGCAGCAATCTACGCGGACACAGCGTAAGGAGCCATTTAAAACAACAGTCCGACAGTGGTTTCTTCCCAACCGCATATTCAACACCTGGAATAGTTTACCTGAAAGTGTGGTTGGTGCTACTTCAGTTAATAGCTTCAAAGTGCAGTATGATAGCTGGATGAGTGTACAATTTTTATAGCTATGAACTGTCTTTTTTTATTTTTTTCTATTTGATGTATTTGTGTTACGTGTCCGTACACTATATTTACTGCATGAGCTTATAGTACTGTGTACTCTGCTCATCTCAATTATCATAATAATAATAATAATAATAACGTGAAAGATTAGGATAGTGTTTACCTTGCTGGCCGCTCATCTGAGGCGGCGCGCTCTGCGGTGGCTGCATCATGTGCTGGGGATAAGGGAACGAGTGATAGCCGGCCCCCACAGGCGGCGCACTATTCGGCGGTACGAACTGTTGAGGCGCGGTTCCGGCATGTACCGGCGAGCCCATGTACGAGCCGTACTGAGCAGTGGCTGTTACCGGGCCAGCCGGAAGGTAGTACTGCTGTTTTTGCTGCTCTTGGCGCATCTGCATCTCGCGTTCCTGCTCTTGAATTCGTTGTAAGGCTAACTGTCTTTGGTACTGCAACATAATAGATACAAATGGTATAGAACATGTTCAAGTGGATTAACTGGTTGGTCGGTTTCATCCAAGACTTCGCCAAAACACACTATCAAAGTTCCGAGCTTTAGCAATTGAAGGGTTTGCTGCAAAAAGCGGTCAACCCCACTTTCTTCAGAATTTTTTTTTAGTTGGATTCCGTTTTTGCGTCGTTTGAAGTAAAAAATTGACAGCTCCACGCTCTATAAAGTGAAATATAACTATAATTGAAGTTGTCTTTGCCTTGGGACAAGAACCGGTCAGCTCCGAAGCTGTCTAGTTCTTGCTCAGTATGAGTGAGTGTGTATGGAATGGTTTTTGACGGTTCAAAGTAAAACTACAGGAATTGCTTTCACACATCCATCTCTCTTATACATACACATGCAACCTACCCCTGTGTGTGAACGTTTTTTTTTACGTTTTTAGCAGTGTGTCTCCGTGTCGAAAACTTTGTGCTTCTCCCTGCGGACATTCGTCAGAAAATTTCTGACAAAAGAGCCGCAATTAAGCAAGCGAAGAGGTCTTGTCACCCAGATGACATTCGCAGAGCAACGAATCTTGTTCATGAAGTGAGAAATGCTCTTCATGAATTCCGTAATGATCAATGCCGCGACTTTCTGGCAGGAATGCTTGACTCAAGTATTGCTCTCTGGAAAGTTGCAAAGTCGCTCAGAAACGGAAAGCGAGAACAACCCCCGCACATCCACGGTCCTAGGGGCATAGTCTGTAGGACAGAGGAAAAGGTCGAGGTTTTCGCTGATTCAATGGAAAGTCAGTTCTCTCCCAACTATGACCTTGATAATGACCTCGACGAGGAGAAACATATTGTAGGAGATATTTTAGGACCAACAGCGTCAATGGTAGTAGTGCCTCCCTTACTGATTTTCCCTCAGAGGAATCTTCAGAAGATTCCTCAACTGAACAGCTGCATGTCACATCAGCGGAATCTCCTGAGCCTCCGCATTGCACACCAGCAGAGCTTCAAGGTCATATTAAAGACCTGAAGGTGCGTAAAGCACCTGGAGAGGATCGAATCACTAATAAGGCGCTGAAGCTACTTTCGCGGAAGTCCTTAACTTATCTCGTGGCAATAATCAATGCCATGCACTTTCCAACGGCGTCGAAGATCGCTGATATCATAATGATTCCAAAGAAGGTGGGTTCGATATTCCCCCAGGATTACCGCCCCATTAGTCTACTGTCAGCTCCTTCTAAGCTCGCTGAAAACGTGATTCTACGTCACCTTGGAAATTTCTCGTCAGACCACAATGTGATTCCTAACGTGCAATTTGGCTTTCGGTCTGAGCATAGTACGAAGCTACAGGCCATAAGACTTGTTGAACAGGTAACCAGGGGGTTCACCCGTAACGAAAGTACTGGCATCTTGCTTCTGGATGTCTCAAAGGCTTTTGGCAAGGTATGGCACAAGGGCCTTCTCTACAAATTGATCCATAAGGGCTTCCCCTTCTGGCTCCTAAAACTTTTGAAATCCGCGAGGAATTTCGGATCAAAATTAATAACGTTCTGTCGACAACACGGCCCATCAAAGCCGGTATCCCTCAGGGTTCGGTTCTTGGACCAGTCCTTTATTCACTTTTTATTCATGACGTCCCGTGCCCCAGCAACTGTGAAATCTACCTCTATGCTGATGACACTGCCTTGATGGCCCAGTCGTGTTCTGGGGGTCTAGTTCACGACGGGCTGCAAAGTGCAGTGGACGAGGTATTGGAATGGGCGAATCGGTGGCTGATCAAAATTAATAATTCTAAAACGCAGGCAATCTATTGTACTAAAAAACGTAGCGGCGCCCCGTCTGAGGTTTCAGTGAATGGAGCTCGGGTACCATGGGAAAGCTCTGCTAAGTATCTCGGTGTCACTCTTGACAAGGGGATGACCTGGCAGAAGCACACTAAAGCGTTAAAAACTAAATTCCAAATCTCGTTTCAGCAACTCTACCCTATGCTATGTAGAACATCAAAATTAAGTTTGATCAACAAAGTTCGGCTATACAAGATGGTTATTAGACCAGCGATCCCTCACACAGTGAAAGTCCCTAAACCAGGGTCCAACGGCTGGTTCAACAAATCGTGTGACACTGCTCGCCAGCAGAAGATCAAGGCCCACAGAACCTACTTACAAAACCCCACTGTAGAGAACAGACAAGCCGACGTCGAGTCCAGAAACAAATATAACGGAGCGGTTCGCAATGCCAAAAACCAGCATGATATAAAAGTTAGGCACAGGGTAATGTCGCAGCGCAATGGCAGTCGGTCTTTCTGGACGCTGGCCAAGCAGATTGAAAAGAACTTCTCACACAGTAGCCTTCCACCACTTACGTGTCAGGATGGAACCATTGTATTCGACTCAAAGGCCAAGGCGGAAGTGCTAGCCAAGATCTTTGCTGCCAACTCCACCATGGACGTCCCCACCAACGCCCAAGTGCCGTCAATTCAAAGGGTTCCCCACACTATGCGGGAGGTAACATTCAGGCATAAGACCGTAAGACGAGTGCTCTTGTTGCTCGACATCAACAAAGCTTCTGGTCCGGACTTGATTCCTGCCATTCTACTGAAGAGATGTGCAGCTGAGCTTGCTCCAGTTCTTTCGCGTCTCTTCCAGATATCTTATGAATCCGGCACCTTCCCAGAAAACTGGAAATTTGCTCATGTACAGCCCATCCCAAAAAAAGGATCTAAAACCGACCCTTATAACTACAGGCCTATAGCTCTGCTTTCTGTTATAAGTAAAGTGATGGAGAGGTGCATAAATCGCGAGCTTCTGGACTACCTCGAACGTCACAGCTTGATTAGCGACAGGCAGTACGGTTTCCGGCACCAACGATCCACAGGGGACCTCCTAGCTTACGTCACGCAACTGTGGAGTAAACTCATCCAGTCTCATGGTGAGGCTCATGTCGTTGCTCTTGACATCACGAAAGCGTTCGATCAGCTGTGGCACGCTGCCCTCTTAAGCAAACTTCCATCCTACGGCCTCCCAGAAATCTCTGGCCGCAAGATATCCGTCGTAATTGACGGATTCTCCTCTTCATCCCACAACGTCAACGCGGGTGTTCCCCAGGGATCGGTCTTGGCTCCAACACTGTTTCTCTTGCATATCAACGACCTCCTTTCCTGCACGATCAACCCAATCCACAGCTTCGCTGATGACAGCACTCTACATGCAGGAATTCAGACTGACAAGCCGATCTCTGCCGCAGAGCTGGAAAAAAGAAGACTAGCGACGACTTCTTCTCTGACAAGAGACCTGGAGGCTATCACTGCTTGGGGACGCAACAATCTTGTACAGTTCAATGCTTCCAAAACACAGTACTGTACTTTGACGAACAAAAAGCGTCCTAGCGCTCATACAGTTTCGATGGACAGTCGAGTTCTACCAAAGAGCCATTCATTTCGGCTGGTCGGAGTCCAGATCACCGAGGACCTGATCTGGCACGAACACATCTCTTCAATAGCTGCAGCTGCTGGGAAAAAGCTAGGCTATTTGTTTAGGGCTAAGAAGTACTTTTCTCCGCATGACCTTCTCACTCTATACAAGGCCCAGATAAGGCCTAGCCTCGAGTATTGCTCACACATTTGGGGTGCTGCCGCCCCGACTACATTGTCCATGCTCGATGCTGTCCAGAGGAGGGCGGTCCGACTGATCGATGACTCTTCCCTAACAGACAGTCTCGGGACTCTTTCGCACCGGCGGGCCGTCGGCGATCTAGCTCTTTTCTATCGCTACACCAACGGGCTTTGCTCCTCAGAGCTCTCTTCCATGATGCCGCCGCGCGATGTGCCTGCCAGACAGACTCGCCTGACTTCGGCGTCCCATCCTAACCGTGTCAAACTTTGTACATCCAGAACTGGCCGATACGACCGCTCCTTTGTCCCGAGGGTGTCTAGATTGTGGAACAATCTACGGGAGGAAGCTTTTCCCAGTTCTACTAACCTTAGGCAGTTCAAAAATCGTATTAACAAAATTTCTTTGGGATCATCATAGCAGCCGCGGTGTTCCGGCATTTAGGCTTCTGCCTGCGCGGCTGTTTCGATATATATATATATAAAAAAAAAAAAAAAAAAAAAGATCACTTACGCAAGTGCGGCTTGGTGTTTTCTCGCCAAAACGCATTTGCGTAGCCTGCAGGTTTTGCAGAACAGAACCTTGCGTACAATCACTAACGCCCCATGGTATGTTTCCAACGAGACCCTTCACAGAGACCTTGACATCCTTACCTAAGGGACTACATCAAACAACAAGCGCAGCCAAGTTATAGTCAAGCGGAATCGCATAACAACCCTTTGTCGCGCGCGTCAATAGACTACACAGTCGATCAAGTCCGCAAGCACACAAGGCTGCGACTCGCACTGTGAACAAAATTAAATCGTGCGACTTTAGGTTCAACCAAAATTATAATTTTTCTTCAACAATCAATCGGAAAATTAATTTTAGGATCAATTTAAAATTGCCGAATACTAATTAACAATGCCAAGGCACCCCTCAAATTGACGCACTTCTGTTTTCTTTGCTCTCCCTCCTTCCTTCCTTTCTTCTTCCCTTCTTTCTCCCTGACTTTGTTTGGTATCTGGGCAACCAGATCTGACAGACCTACTGACTTACAAGACTTCAACCAAGAGCAAAGGTCCTACGGACCGCTCTGACAGACAATGACGAATAGAATAGATAACTTTGTGGTTACGTAAGAGTGCCCTTCAATCATATTTGTCAGAGAGACAACTTACTTGACATCGGCGAGCAATTCGAGTTGTCGTGTTAGCAGTCTTCAATATAAAATTGTACAATGCCCAGGAAGAGAATGAAAACATCGGTCCCTGTTACCCACTTCATGCGTACTAGAGAGAGTAGCAGATGCGCTGAAGATTAGTCTGCGCCCATCTTACGGAGAGTCGATCTGTTTACTTATTTCATATGGTGTTAAGCCGTAACCGCAAAGAACGGTGTCTACAACTATAGTGGTGCGTCTGGCATTATTTAATCAGAAGCAAAGACCAAACTCTCTCCATCTTGCAAAGTCAGAAGCTTTTTACACCTCGCTGAATGAAAAAACACTCCGGTCAGAAATGCAGAATATGTCGAGGTCTTGTGCTTTGACTACGAGAACATGCCTTTACCACATACTCCGTCTGGAGACGTATTTCATAAAAGGCAGTTGTGAGTTTGTGGTTCTTGTACTCATTCCATGAAAACGGGAGAGTGCCGATCTTATATTGTATCTCGAAATCACAGCTAAAAAGGGAAGCAACGAGGTTACCAGCTTTTTGTATCACACTGCCTTACCGCGTCCAGTCCTCATACTATTCGCGAACTGTATCATTTTTCAGATAATTGCTTTGCACAAAATAAAAACTCGTGCAGTTTTTGCATACGTTTATTAATAGATCCTACTTAAAGAAATTTAAGAGCAATAGTTTATCAGTTTCTCAAGCCAGGGCACAGATTTTTATCCTGTGACAAATCTTTTGGCCTGATAGGATAAAAAAAAAGTCAAAAAGAAGTAGTTTATACGCCCAAGGGATGAAAATACTTGATTAAAGAAATTCACTATGGTATAAGTGAGCCAGGAGATGATCCTCAACTTCGGCCAGTGCTTTATTCGATATTTTAAAAAAACGTTACAAACATTAAAAAGAGCAGTTTGTCATATCAAAGTATCGTATTTTCAAGTATGAAAAGTCTGACTTATAAAGAGTAGTGTATCTACCGGTATAACCTAGTTTTCGGAATTTTGAAAAAACCGTCCGCTACATATACGATACCAGACAAACTTATTATACTTGCCCTCTGCCCATTAAATCAAAAAAGCTAGAATATGTTCGATTTTTAGCTGAAAAATATTCAAAAATGACCACTGGTACTATAATACAGTATTTCAAGCTGTTGGGCCGGAAACGGTTCAACAGGACAGTGAAGACGAAGACGTGGAAGCTGAAATGTTTTGAATTAATATTTCTTCTGTTTGTTATGTTCAGCAAAATAATTTTGGCGCCTGATTTGTTTCCAACAACAAAATGTCCTAACCTGTAAATACTCCTGTTTCTTCTTCCTCATCACTTCCAATTTGTGCGCCATTTGCATCTGTCTTTGGCGCTCGGCCTCTTCAGCTTCTCGCCTCAATTTATCTCTGTGTTCTTCTCTCAAAGCATCCAAAGCTGCTCTCGCATCTTTCACCTGAAATTTAAATGTACTTATCCAAGGTACCAACCAAGAAACTTCTAATGTTTATCGATGTTTTTAGATTCTCGGATGACACGATAACGATAATTACTAAATGTTTCATGTAAACTATTAGGAGTCGTGATGATATGTTCAGAAGTTTGAGAGGTTATGCTGCTGTCAGCTGCTGTTTACAAATTGTGTGACGTCATAACACATTAATTTGGGCCAAACAGGACAGACGGCGATTTCGCATGTCTAAGAATAAATTTTAAACACTTTTACGATCTTTTAGGTCTGAAAAAAATATAGTATTAATGTTTTTGGTTTAACAGAACGAATGACTTACTTAAAAAAAGTCCACTAGCCTATTCTTTGTACTTTGACTATCAGCTGGAATAAGTGAAGTCCAACATTTAAAATTTCAAGGAGTTGAGTCAAAGAAAACAAAATTTTGACAAAAAGTCAAGCTGGATTTAGAAAAAAATTTTCTACAGGAACAGCAATTCAAATGAGATATGAGAATATATTGCAAAAGTAACATTTATAAATTTTAACTGTACCATCCATGTATACAGAGTGTTCCTTAATGATATGAGAATATTTAAGGGTGTGAATCTACATGAAAAATTAATGTTACTTTGCTTTATAAACTATGCTCCAAAAATGTTTCCTTACAAAAACTGGGGGTGTTGAAGTTTTATGGAACAAATTGAAATTAATTAATATTTTCAGAACCGCTTCAGATATTTCACTGATATTTAGTACGTAGTGAAAGTTAATAAAGTTGAATAGTTTTCAATGCAAAAATAATGTTTAGCTTTAACAGTGGGTATTGATTTTTAAGAAAATAAATGGTACGCTAATGGTTTTTTGTCAAATAAAAATTATTTTTGAATTCCCCGTTCAATTTAAAACAAAAGATCTCTCTTGAATTGTTTTCCTTTGATGCGCCATTTAAATTGAACGAGGAATTCAAACATTTTTATTTGGCAAAAAACCATTGGCGTACCATTTTTCTTAAAAAATATCGAAGTCAATACCCGTAAAATTATTTTTGCATTGAAAAATATGCAACTTTATCAACTTTCACTACGTACTAAATTCAGTGAAATATCTGAAGCGGTTCTGAAAATATTAATTAATTTCCATTTTTTCCGAAAACTTCAACACCCCGAGTTTTTGCAAGGAAACATTTTTGGACCATAGTTTATAAAGCAAACCAACATTAATTTTTCATGTAGATTCACACCCTTAAATATTCGCATATCATTAAGGAACACCCTGTATACTGGAATATCTGATCCACGTCAAAAATAATTATGATGATTACAGAACTCCGAAATGGTTTCATAAATAAAATTCTTTAAAAGCGCTGCTCAAACACTCAACCAAGTTTAAAGATATTTAGTGACGACAGTTTTTTACAGCAATATTAGCTCCTTAATGTTATAAATACCACCGCCAAAATGACAACACAATTAGGAAAGGATATTACGAATAACCGTTTTTTATTTTAATTTAACACCGTGTAGGTTGAGAACAAAGCATTTGTAGACCTATGTTTATATGTGAACTTTTTGCCTTAAAATTACTCAAAGAGTCTTATGTTAAATTTATGATAATTAAAACCCTGTATATCATTATAATAGATAGCCCTACGACACCCAATGGGTGGTCGTGGTGGTTCAAGTATAAAGAAAAGGGTCAGATCTCAGAGTTGCCAGACTAAATATTTTCTAAAAGACAAAACGTGGAACATTTTTTGAGCCTAATTTTACTATCGATCCCCGCGAATACAAATTTACGCCTATGACACAAAGTACATATAAAACTCTACTCAACACTCCACGTATTGTCAGAAAATAAGTTACATCTCGAAGAACTGGGATTTTAGAGTATAACAAATGATACTGCCAATTATTGGCATGTCTAAAAATATATATTACCTGTGTAAGCTTATCTTGTAGCCTTTCAAAATGCACTCTAGCGTCATCATGTTCATGAATATGGGTCAGTAATCGCGAGTGCATTGCTGTGATTGTCATGAATAACGTCTGTACACTTGTATCATTGGCTATAGATCTGCAATGTTAAATACAAATAAATATGAATGTCCGTTTTTTCTAAATCCCACAATAGGAGTACCGAAAAATGCTTTATAGGAACTAATTTCAAAAGTATTTGAAATGATCCTGTTAGACCACATTTATCACTTGGTCTGTAGCCAAGGTTCTATTTCTCAGCATATCTTTTTCAGGGTTAGATCTAAAACACTGATTTTGCTAAAGCTTTTGACAGGATAGGTCGTGGTATTTTACTGAGCAAAATATCTAATTTTGGATTTGAAAATTTAATGGTTAATTTCTTTCAATCATATTTTGAAAATAGGTCACATTTTGTTTTTTTACCATGGTTTATATAAAGCAGCTTCAGGTGTACCACAAGGTTCCAACTTAGGCCTCCTATTTTTACTGTACATAAACGATATGTCTTGCAACTTGTCTTGTTTGAATTTTTTATACGCTGATGATCTGAAAATCTTCATAACAATTAATGCATCTCAGATTGCCGTATTCTACAGCAGAACCTTCATTCGATCCATGATTGGTTTCTAGCTAAGAAGCTGAACTTGAATGTATCTAAATGCAAAATTCTAACATTTTCAAGAAAAAAGCAGATAATTGTACATCAATATAAGGTTGCGAATAATAATCTTTCAAGAGTTGATCAAATTAAGGATCTGAGTGTATGATTCGATAAAAAACTAGCCTTTAACTGCCATATCAACTTGAAAATATCAAATTCTGTGGATTTATTGTCAGTAAGCATCTTTAGTTTGGAAGCTGTCCTATATATACTAAGTGACATATAAATCCGAACACCCAGTTTAAATGGTTTTATTTTAATAAAATTTTGTATAAGTACTTAATGAAGCATAATGAGTACATGATAAAAATTTCAAAATGATTGCACTGCTTTAAAGCCCTTTGACCTTTAATAATGTGTTGATGCACCCTGATGTGCTACGCATTCTCCAACGTGCGTAGGCATGCTTCTGATCAGGTGGTCAATGCCCTCCTGTGGTATCTCATTCCAGGCAACCACCAACTCCTCTCGAAGTGCTTCTAGAGTTTGAGGAGGACGTTGCAAATTGAGCAATCTCCTACCCATCATATCCCACACGTGCTCAATTGGGGATAAGTCCGGAGATCTTGGTGGCCATGGTAACAATGTGCCATCATTATGTTGAAAGAAGTCTATTGTGACTGTTGCAACATGTGCTCGGGCATTATCTTGTTGGAAAGTTGGATCTGCCAGGGTGTCAAGATATGGTAAAAGATGGGGTTCTAGAACTTCGTGGATATAACGCTGCGCGTTCATGTTACCTCTGATGAAGATTAAAGGTGACCTGGAACCATAAGCTATAGCACCCCAAACCATAACTCCAACAGTGTGATGAACATGTCTTTCAACAAAAAACTGTGGATTCCTCCTTTCACCACGTCGCCTTCTAACCCTGGCACGACCATCGTGCATGCCTAAACAAAATCGAGACTCGTCACTAAAGACAATACTGTTCCATTCCTGATCCCAGAGTGACCGTTGTCTGCACCACTCAAGACGATTACGTCGGTGTTCTCGAGTTAAAGGGAGGACCCAGTGTGGCCGGTATGAAAACAAGCCAAAACTTCTCATTCGTCGGTAAACACTTCGCATGCCAATAGGTCTTCCGTGTTGTGCAAACCATTCATTTGCAATGGACCTGGTAGTGGAGAAACGGTCCCTTAAGGCCAATAATCTTAGGCGGCGATCTTCACGGTCTGTTGTTCTACGGCGGCGTCCAGTGCCCCTTGCTCTTTGCGTACGGCCTTCTCGAAGCCATGCCTGACAACACCTAACCACAGTGACTACACTTCTTTGAACTCTAACTGCAATTGCCCGAAAAGAAAGTTCAGCTTCCCGAAGTCCCACTATACGGCCCCTATCAAACTCACTAAGTTGACGAAATTGTACAGGTCTCCGTACTTTAGGCATCGTAACCGATCGTAAAGGATGTCAAGAACCAAAATCCGTCAACGTTGATTCTTTACTGCGGCTGAAATATTCATTTTTAGAGCGTTAGTGAATTAAAAAAAAAGCAGCATAAAAACCGGAATGTCCAACTGATAAGGCTGAAAATTTTTTCACTTGTTATTTACAGTAAGATAAATACATTCACCAACTTTTTATTAAAATAAAACCATTTAAACTGGGTGTTCGGATTTATATGTCACTTAGTATAATTTATAGGACCTCCTTAGAACAGGTACAGAGGTGTTTCCTCAAATATGGTTCATATCATATAACGGGCATTTCTGAAGTTCATCTGTGTTATAGGTTTGATTTGTCACTCCTTGATTTGAGGCGCGTTCAATTTGCATTAATATTTTTACATAAACTGTTACATAACAAGATAGATAGTTTGCACCTATTATCACAGTTGAATTTTCAACACTTTAAGTTAGATCGCTGCAATACAAATTTAGGACTAGATTCTCCATTGTCTTACATACAATCTAATTTCAATATTATTAGTGACGTGTGTGATGTCAATGTTGACTATCTGGTCTATTTGTTGAATAAATCAACTGAACCATACGCTCAGATGAATTACATGATGTAATTGCTTCTTTTTTATTTTCTTTAGGTACAAAGACATATTCTTTCTTTGTGGGTTCACAGTTTATACTGTAAATGGAATTAATTTCTGTTGGGCAATAAAGCATTATGATTATTATCACTTATAGTGTTTTCCACTGGTATGCATTCTAGCATTATTTATTCACTCTTCATATCAGTGTTCTGCTGAGTACTTAGTGCATTTTTCTTTGTCATCATGTGTTCTACTAAAATCATTAATGTGAGATGTTTTGCACTAGATGTACGAAGAAATTTTGCGGTGCACGACAAGCTATCAAGTCAAAAGGGTTCCCAGTTTGAACCATATCTCTAACTTCCGCAAAAAACTGATAAATAATCAGTATCCATTAGTATAAATATTTCACGTAACACAGGTGTTAATCAAAAAAATGTAAAATAGCAATGGTTACTCCTATTTATAAAGGAGGCCCAAGTGAATTAACAGAAAAGTTTAATTACTGTTACTGCAAAAATAAAAGAAAAAATAGATCACTTCTTCAAAAACCAACAAAATTGTAAGTGACAACCAATTTGGATTTCAAAAACAAAAAAAAAACGGGTTGCTATTTTCACATTACTCAGATATACTCAAATTTGAACTATAAACAAATTTCAATAGGGCTTTTTTGCGATTGGTTCAAAACATATTCAAAGAATCGATCCCAAAATGTAAAATTATAATAACTTAAATATAAACGCAGGGGTACGTCAAGGATCAGAATTAGGTCAGATCCTATTATCTATCTATTATAGTCTATATCAATGATTTAATAAACTTAAACATAAATGGTAAATTCGTAGTTTTTGCTCTGATACCACAATACTTTGGGAAGATACAGATATAAACGAAATTAAGACAAAAGTTGATAGTGATGACATTCAAACGCTTCCTAGGTTTAATAAATTTAAATTATGAATTGACTCACAAAACAGACGCCATCAAATTTTTCAGAGTGATCATTGATCCTAAATTAAATTTTACTAATGATGTAGAAAAACTGCTTACTCAGCTAGCAAAGATTTCCATTATTCTAAGAACAATTAGTTACATCGTAGGAAAACCACAGATTTAAGCTGTTACTTGTCTGATTTGAAAAAAAAGTTAAGATATAGCGATCCCTTTTGGTGTGTTCGTTCCCAAAATTGTTTTTAACAAGTGCTTATTCTACAAAAACGAACTATTGGAACTAAAACATCCGCACCAAGATTTTAGTATCTCTTGGTTCATCCCCCTTCTTTTTTTGTTCTTTACTTGGCCACTTAAGGCCTTCAATTTGGGGCTTTAACGCAACCACCTCATCTTGTGGCGCCCAACGTGGGGCTGAATCCGTCTCGAAGGGCCAAGATGTCGCGGTTGCGATAGTCCCAAATTGAAGGCCTTAAGTGGACAAGACAGAACCAACGTGCGGTTAGAGTGCGCTCTTCCTCTTTGTTCCAAAAAACAATAGGCGCGACCAAATTTAGTGCCAAGAAAAACAGCGGTGGAGCAAACAATGGAAATTAAAGTAAAATTGGCATTGCGGTCGCAACATCCAGGCCAGCCAAACGCGCGACTAGTGCATTTCTAAATAATGAAAGAGATGAACCAGAAAAAATTGCGAATAATTATTTTAGACATTACAAACACAGAAAGGTGGATTTTGGATCGACTTACATTTAAAAATAATCTAACTTTGAAACATTATATACAAGTCACAAAATTAGACGAAAACAAGATCTTAAATCTTAAAGTGGTCTGAAAATTTGCATATGTCTCCCTGATACTATCAAAAAAATTAACAATATAAAGATATTCCACCGAGAGCTTAAAGACTTATTAAAGTGATGTGTGAGTTCTACCTATAGTTTCAAGTTACTTTTGTCAGATTTGTGTGCTGAGACTAACCAGTATATGCCAATGGAAAATGCCGTTAAAATCTGGTGTTGGTTCTATACTAACCTTCCTCTGCTGGAATCGCTTTTCATCCGATTTATGAAAATTTCAACTTGGCTCTTCAATGTTTTGATGAATTCTTCCAAATCAACATCGGCTACGGTCTGTGCGGCAGCCACATCATTTTCTCTGACCTTAGTCTTTATCTAGAAACACACATCCCATTCAATGATCACTCATAAAATAACTAATAGTCGATACAGTTGGAGTGGAGTGGTGGTTCAATTTACGAATACAGAATGCGTTTTGTTTATGGAGCGGCTAGGCGCATTTATCAAGAAAAATATCCTCATCGCATTATACCAGGGGTCGGCAACCTTTTGAGACGGAAGAGCCAAAAGTTACAATTTACAAAATTTCGAAGTTTTTAAAGAGCCACTAACATTTTTGTTTCAGTATTATGGTATTTGATTAGGATTAGGTATACAATTTTGATTTTTGATTTAAAATAAATAGCTTTAAATATGAAATAATATTTATTCACATAAAAACATATATTAAAGTGTTTCAACTAGCTGTGCTAGAATAATCAAATAATATAGCTATAATTATTGTATGATAAGAGGGATGTTTTTTAAGTTTTGCACATGGAAATAAAACAACACGGTAGGTAGTTTTAAATGACTTTATTGTTTTTCGAAGTATTCTCCAGGAAGATTAATACACATCTGCATGCGCTCGAACAAATTTTCGAGTACTTATTCCACTCGTTTACTGGCAGATCCAAAACGGCATTTTTGAGTGCATCAACTGCTTCTTCTGGTGACTGGAACCTTTGACCACGCAGTCTGTTTTTAATTTTCGGGAAAGTAAATCGTTAGGACTTAGAGCGGGACTATATGGAGGATGGTCCAATAATTCCACGTTTTTTTTTTTTCGTTAAATACTGCCTTGTTTTTTGGGCTGTGTGCGAGCCTGCATTGTCTTGGTGGAGGATGATTCTTCTTTCGGGGTTGATTTTTCGAAGCTCGGTGATGACTTTTTGCAAACAAATGGTTGCAATATGACCCGCTTTTGACACAAATGTCGCGACCATCTTATTCGAAACACTTCGAGAACGGATGACTTTTGTTGGCTTTTCTTCACCTTGGAACACCCAAACAGCCGACTGTCGTTTATTTTCTGGTTCATAACAGTAAATCCACGATTCATCACTACTAACAATGCTTTACACATTTTTTGAGTTTCCGGAATTGAATCGGTCAAGCGTTGTTTGATACCAATTAACCCTGGCTGCTTTCTGCTCTTCAGTCAACAGTTGGGGTATCCAACGAGAAACTAATCTCACTCCTAATTCTTCATGTAATTTTTTTTGAATTGAGGTCTCTGAGATCTTCAAGGACGCCTCAATCTCGTGATATGTCACATGTCTATCTTCAATAATGAGTTTGCGCACAGCATCGACGTTTTCCTGGGTGACTGCCGTTTATGGCGCGAAAATGTTCTCAGTTGAGTTCCATTTTTCTAATGACTTGGTGACACTTAAAAATTCACTGTAGTGAGAACACTGCACGTATTGTTGTGAAACTTTGAATTTAAGTTTACTAAAGAGTGAGGTTAAGATTCAGTACTAACGTTCGATCCGCGTGGCCTACTATGTTTCTATATGCAAAACTTAAAAGACATCCCTCATATAATTTACAAGTGTTACATCAATGGGAGCATTAGCCTTGCATGCCTTTTGAAAGTTTTTTTAAATCTAGCACATAGCGTGTTTTTAGTTTCAAGCACGCCTCTAAATTTTTATTTGATAGTTGCCATCTTATTTTACTTTTTATTATATTCATGCAAGAGAACGCTTGCTCATGAATATGTTGACCCGAAGATCCTCAGCATTTCAAATGCCAACTTCTCCACCTCACTGAAGCATTCTGGAAAACTATTCCATGCATCAAATATGAGTGCCTCAATTCCTTTTAGAGCTATCCACTTGTGCAGCGTAACGTGCATACTTTTCTGGACCTCCAACTCTTCTAATTTGCTCTGGAGTTGTCTGAACCTACCGCTCCATAAATGTTTGGTTTTCAAATCCAGCAATTGCATTTGAAACGAACCAGCATCAATTCCAAATGGCTCAATGTTGATCTCATTCATATTTGTGTTGAGATAATTTACTATGAACTGAAGAGCCGCAACTTGACATCAAAAGAGCCGGTTGCAGACCCGTACATTATACCAATTAGACAAAATTCGTGAGAATACATGAAAGGCTGTGCGAATCAGGCACCTCTCAAAGGTCTGCTGCTGTAATTGGGAGACCTGTCACAGCAAGAACAGTGCAGCAGTTTTACATGAAGTTGAGAGTAGCCCCGATATAAGTACACGCAAAATTGCAGAACAATGAGACATCTGTCACTTTACGGTGTGGCAGATTTTAAGAGAATATCAACTGTATCCTTCCTACATATAGCGTGTTCAAGCGTTATTTTCCCCAACGAGTCGTTTATTGTACTTAGCTTTTGCAACAACAGGTAGCGTTTCAAATATTTTTATCCCGTATTTTATTTACCGTTGTTAATCAATAATCATATGTGGGCTGAATTTGGAAGAATGATGGTATTATAGATAATTTTTCTGCTATATGAACTCAGACATCCAGAAACTCTTGATAAATATCCCACTTTACTACTAATCTTATTTATAACTTTTTCATAATGAATATCAAAAATTAATCGAGAGTCAACAAAAACCCCCAGGTATTTAAAATTTTCAATGAATTCAATATCTTCACCATCAATATTCAGTTGAACATTTGTACATTGCTTTTTTCCGATTAACATAGCTTTCGTTTTACTTGTATTTATTTGAGTCTGTTAGATGCTAACCATTTTGAGACAAGTTTCAAGTCTTCATTCATATAAGAGATACCAGTCTGAATAGTTTTAATACTTATAAAATCATAGTGTCATCGGCGATACTGCCCTGTGGAACACCCAACGTATTTTCAATTTTTGACGAAATAGTGTCATTAACTTTTGTAACTAGCATCCCTTTAGAAAAATAATTTCTAAACCAATCTAAAATACCGTCATGGCCACCCAGGTGACCGGATTTAAATCCGTTAGAATGTTTTCTCTGGGGGCATTTAAAGTCCTTCGTATACAAAACAAAACTCCAGTCGACACTGGAGACGAGATTCATGTGATCAGATAAGACATAGGCCGGGAATATTTCAACGAGTTCGACACTCAACGTTAAGACGAGCTAATGCTTGCATTGGGATTGAAGGATGGCATTTTCAGCAACTATTGTAAGTTCCGTCTTATTTACTGTTAAATGTTTTCATTGAAATAAAAGTTTAGGTGTAGTTTTAAAAAGACGTTTTTCCAGTTCGTTTTTTTTTTTTAATTTCCAGCGTTACCAAAGTGCAACGCCACTGGGAAAAACAAAGCAACAATAAATAACGATATGTAAATATTGTATGTTTATTTGTTTTATCGAAAGCTGGTATAATCTGAGCAAAAAAATCAAGAGAGGACATACGTGTAACTTAATTATCAAAAACATGCAATAAAGTGCTTTTTATTTTGTATTTCTCAAACGAAGCGAGATGTGGAAGACACGCAGGAGACAAAAAAGTTGTATTTTTAGCTGCTTAATTCGAAAAAATAGAAAAATTGAGAAAGTCAGTGACGCACAATTTGTTTTCCATAGATATTGGTTAGGGTGTTTTTCGGGGCTCGACTGGGCTTAATTTCAATCTAATTGGGGCTAAATTAGCCACTTACTGTCCTTAATGCCAAAACCAAAAGCGACTGAAGGTTTAAGATATATAGGAAAACCCGACCCTTTAAAAAAATTTGACACCCTGTATCTTGAAAATGAAGCACTTCTGGACCTATGTTTATATGACCTTTTGCTTATTTTCGCGCAGATATGACTTTCAATTGCGTTGGGATCTTTCGGTGGAATATACGAATCAATAAGTGAACTGAATAACTCACCTCGTTCGCAGCCATTGGAGCTGAAGGACTTGCGGGCGCTCCCTTTTGGTCGTCCGAGGTAGTACCACCACCGCTCGAATGTAGTGACTCCCAGTACGATCGGTTCAGATATCGGTCCAGTTCAGGATTGCTGCTTGCAGTAGCCTCTTCACGGGGTGTCACAGGACGTTCTGTCACTGCTTCAGTAGGCGCTGGAATAAATTATACGTGGATTTTGTGTTTTAGGTAAATGTCTAGCCTAGCTACACCAGCCGTATTTGACGAAAAAAACGATTTCAGATCAATGTCCCATTAGCTCAGATTATAATGCATCATTCAGTGAGTTTAGAACAATAAACATTGATCGTCTCAAGAAGAATATATCAAAAAATAAATCAAATCAAAATAAGAGTGAGATTTTGTCTAAAAGTGTGCTTAATGAATGTTTTGATATTATTGGAGCAAGAATATTACAATAAATTACTGTTTAAAACTGAAGTGTTCCACCATAACTTCTGTTTCTAAAGTTAAGAATTCTGAGTTGTACACCAATATGCGGCCAATAAATGTTCTGCCAGATGTTGAAAAAGTTTATGAAGAAATTATTTACGAAAAGATCATCGAATTTTTTGAGGGAAATAACATTTTAACCAAATTTCAAGCTGGATTCAGGAAGAAACACTCGACTAAAACGGCAACAGAAATGGTTTTAGAGGACTGGAGGAGATGTATGGACAATAGTGTAACAGTGTTTTTGGACTTCAAAACGGCGTTTGAGACTATTGACAGGGATAAATCACTTACAATATTGCATCACTACGGATTTAACGGATCTGTATTCAAAATTCTACAAAACTATTCAATTGACAGAAGTCAAAAAACCAAAATTGGATCTACATTATCAAGATCAAAAAATGTTTCTATTGGTAGACCACAAGGGAGTATAATAGGTCCACTACTATTTATTTTATACATTAATGACATTTGTAATATTTTAGATTATTTTAAACTTCATATATTTGCAGATGATAGATTAATATACAGGGTGGTCCATAAGTCCTTTGAAATTTCAAATTTGAATAAAATTTAACGGGTGAGCGTGAGCGGCGCGGGCGAGGTGGGGGCAGTATCTTCAGTGTCTGGGAATTCAGTCGCCATGGAGTGTTTCACTGGAGCGGATCGTGCTTTTTGTGTGCGCGCGTTTTATCAAAATAATGATTCGGCAACCATTGCGCGGCGTAAATATCGAGAATACCACAATTTACACAATTTTACAAAGTGTCCAACAGCTCAAACGATTAAGAACTGGGTTGCTAAGTTCGAAGAGACTGGTTCGACGTTAGATAAACAGCGGTGGGGTCGACCAAGGACAACTCGTATTGAAGAAAACATCAACATTGTGGCACAGTCTGTTCGTCAAAATCCTACCCAGTCTACTCGTAAGCGTTCCAGTGCACTAAACGTACCCAGAACATCTTTACAGCGGATTTTAAGGAAAGATTTACGTCTGCACGCTTACAAAATTCAGTTAGTGCAGGAATTAAAAGATAATGACGGTATTCAGAGACTAAACTTTGCGAATAAAATGTTGAATCGATTTTCTTCGCTCAATAATGTGTTGTTCTCGGACGAGGCTCACTTCCATTTAAACGGGCATGTAAATAAACAAAATTGCCGTTATTCGAGCCCCGAAAATCCAAGGCGTAAGCATCAGAAGCCCTTACACAGCCCTAAAGTTACAGTTTGGGCTGCTATGTCAGCGCATGGCATCGTAGGCCCTTATTTTTTTGAGGACGACAGAGGTCGCGCATTAACTGTTACTTCGGAGCGGTATGTAGCAATGATAAAAGAGTTTTTGACACCAGCGTTGCAGAATTTTCCAGGCTATAATACGCAGACCTGGTTTCAACAGGACGGAGCAACTGCCCACACTTCTATGCCCGTCGTCTGTTAACTTTTTCCCAGCAAAGTAATTTCTCGAAGAGGAGACATTTCCTGGCCACCACGTAGTCCAGATTTGACCCCAATGGACTTCTTTTTATGGGGCTACCTCAAGAGTAAAGTGTACGACACCACTCCGCGATCAGTTGATGTCCTGAAAGAAAATATCCGAAGAGAAATGGCAAGCATTACAGTGTTGACTTGCCGCGCAGTCATCGACAATTTTAGACGTCGTTTATATGAGTGCCGTGGTCGTAATGGATTGCATTTAGACGATCTGATTTTTAAAACATAATTCCCATTCAATAAAGATGATAACAAAATATAATAATTCTTCATAATGTAACTAGTTTGGTTTTATTCCTTTTTTTCCAGCTCAAAGGACTTATGGGCCACTCTGTACATATCAGATGAAAATATACACTGCTTTGAAAATGCTAAATTCTGACTTGACAAAAATCGTAAATTGGTTAAATGTAAATAAACTAAAATTGAATACTTCTAAAACAAAATGTATGCTAATAGGGAAATACCTAAATGAAAATACTATCAAAGTTAGCATCAGTGGAGAAATAATTGAAAATGTTGAATCAATTAAATGTTTAGGTATATATATATATATATATATATATATTGATAGTAAACTAAAGTTTGAGGATCACTATGAATACATTATTTCAAAAATTGCCAAAAAAACAAATTACTTTTATAGGGCTTCTCATAGTCTTGGTACCTATTCCAAGAAAATAGTTTATAATACAATTATTCTACCGCATTTACTATATTGTTCAACTATCTTTCACTGCCAATGAAGCTCTCAAAACTACAAGTCTTGCAAAATAAAGCTATGAGAATAATATTGAATAAAAAGTACACCAAAATAAAATCTATGTTACAATAATTGCAGTGGTTGAATATAAAAAATTTTCATACCATATTTGATTCTTATTTTTATATTTAAAATAAAAAATCATCTTTTGCCAGAACATTTAGCACTACATAGAATTGAAGAATCATTACCAAAATTATTATACAAGAGGAAATATAGATTTTCATTTACAAAATTGCAATAGTAATATAACTAACAAATCAATATTTCAGAAAGGATTACTTGAATTTAATAAACTAAATAATGATATAAAGTCTACTTGTAATTTAAAGATATTTAAAAGAAAATTAAAGGACTATTTCATGGACAATGAAAATTCTTAGAGATGCAAATTTTGTTTTTTTTCTCTGAATATCTGTATGTTATGTAATTGTTTAGTTTTTTAGAAGAATGTAATTGAATGTAATTGTAGCAATCATGCTAAATAAATCTTAAACAAACAAATCAAACTTTTTGAAACTAGACGCAGCACAGATTTTCGTCTGCAAAATTATAATAGTAGCGTTACTAGCAAATCTGTATTTCAAAAGAGAGCATTTGAATTTAATAAATTAAGTGATATTAAACAGTGTTCGAGTTTAAAAATGTTTAAAGTGAAATTGAAAAATCACTATTAATACTCAAAATGCATAGTGATGCAATTTTAATAAACAATAATGTAAAATTACAGAAAATGTATTGAAGAAAAATTGTAAACAAATAATTATACATAAGTGACATTGTAGCATTAATGCTAAAGAAATCTTCAACAAACAAACAAACTATCAAAAAAATTACCTTTGTAACTAAGTATGCTTGTGGGTCCTTTATGCTTTTCTTTCTCTTTTGCCTCAGCCTCCGATTGGCTTAAAGCCAATGCTAGTTGCAACTCCTCCTCTTCTCTCAACTCTTCTTCGCTCTTTTTTGGTGGTTCCTTATATATGAAAATTAATATGTATGTTATGTGCTCTTAGTAACCACACAGTTCATAATATACTCAGTGACATTAGAAGTGTTACACCCAGAAAAAATAATTTCTTCAACTTGTTTTTTTGGCAATGAGGTACTTTTACATCAAGAATGAAACGATAACATTTTATTGTCAAGTAAAAGACAAAAATTAATGTGTTGGGCGACCCCGCAGCTGAACACATTCATGAATACGTCTAGGCATCGAAAAAATGAGAAGATCGATGTCTGGTTGTGGCACCTCACAGTTCTACCTTCTTCTCCAAACCATTGGTCAGCGATTTGACGCGTAGTAAGGTTAGTTGTCTGAAGCGCCTATCTTGACGCTCTGTGGTACGCCTCGGTGGACAAGTTGGCCTTCTTCGTGTTCCTCTACCTTCTTCTATCCACACACGACACACACGCATTACCGTCATTGCGGTTCAATTAACACGGCGGCCAATTTCGCAATAGTACAAACCAACATCTCGATAGGCAATAATTCTACCCCTGTCAATGTCACTAGCATTGTGATAATTTGGACGTCTTCCAACTCGAGGCATTTTGTTATGCTTAACACTAGTAAATGAAAGAGCAGTAACTAAAAATATCTGTACTACTCAGCTCTCAGAGTCTGCTTTCATCACAAAAACTAAGAGAACATTTTAAAAAAGGTAAACAAAAACAAATTATTGTTGCTTATTGCCACAGCATGCTTTAAGTATAGTCATTATGTTGGCAAAAAAACGAGTTGAAGAATTTTTTTATGGGTGTAACACAGTATATACAATATCACACAGACATAGAATCAGCATAAAATAACAACTAGACGCTAATCTCTTGCGTATATAGCGTCTTCTATAAATGCATTGTAAGCAATCCTGATATTAAAAAATTTCACAATGAATGTAAAAAATGTTATATGTTATTTAGTTCTCATTTTCATATTCAAATTGAAAAAACATTTATTACCACCACATTTAGAAAACATCACAAAATTAAATAGCCATTATCATAACTAAAAAACTAGAGACAGTATGGATTTTCATTCAATTTCAATAAACGCGTCCTACAATTGTAGGAACGGCTGACGATACGGTCCTAAGATATTTAAAGGAAAAGGCTTACATTACTCATTAGAAACTCAACCCCCTCCCCCATTTATTTTACAAGCCGATTACCCGCTAACAGCCACTTCATCAAGTTTGCAACATTTGTTGCGAAATGTTTCTCCCAGGTCGAATAGTCGAGATAAGCTTGTGGTTTATTAACGGACCATCCGGTACATAAAAAACTTATTCACGCAAGCGAAAAGTTCAGACTTGTGAGCATAGAAGTACCTGACTTTGCTGCGCTAGTGAACTTTTCAAGTACTCTGGAGGCAACTCCGTGTCAGCTTTTGATGGCTTAGTAGTAGATGGCTTTGTGGCTTGCTCAAAACAGGAATCACAAACTCGGACCTGAAATAGGGAATGTAAAAGTCCTTTTCATGTTTTCCGCTATAAAATGTAAAATAAAATCGAGGCAAAATCAAAATTGACAACCCAAGTGAATTTAGATTTCGCACTCTCTAAGTTTTAAAACATGTATCGTTGGAGTATAAAGTCTAACTGCTAAGTTTTCGTATAAATAATAACGGTAGTGTCCAATAAACATAAGATACCCAAAAAAGTATACACTTATGCTTTAGGTTTAACCGAACTCGAATTATACAGTATGACACAAAAGTCCCGGAACGTATCTGTATTTTCTCGGAAAAGGTATTTTTGGAAAATGTCATGGTCAAGTCTTCAGTAACTTTCAACAAGGAATTCAACGGTGACACAGAATTTGACCTTGACCTTCACCTTCAAGGTTAATGCATGGTGAACTTTATTTTAACAAAATGCCAGCATTCGAAAGAACAGAAAATTTTACGTTCAAACACAAAGTCCAAGGTCAGGATGACTACTAAAGGTCAAATAAAGATCAAATGTGTGCTGCTAGTAAAACCTCTATAAATCTCACAGGATGAATGATGAAAATAACTATCAAGGTCAGGTCTATGGTAAATTTTAACAAGGAAGTGAATGCTGACCTTGGATTTGACATTGACCTTTACCTTCAAGGTTATTTCAAAGTCAACTTTTTTTATGAAAATGCCCATTTTTATGCCGGCAATGTAAAGAGCGAAAAATTTTACGTTCAAATACGAATTGAAGTTCAAGGTCAGGGTGCCATCTAAGGGTCAAATGTGTGCTGCTAGGAAACATCCATAAATCTCACGGGATTAGCAATGAAAGGAACTGTCAATGTCAGGTCTTTGGGAAATTTTAGCGATCTTGAATTTCACCTTGATCCTCCCCTTCATCGTCAACTTCATGTTTTTAATGAATATTCCTATTTTTTTAAAAATAATAAAATACAAATCGAAGACCAGGGTCATGGTGACAGTTCTTTAACGAGTGATCTTGGTAAAGTAATTTCAATGTCATTTTTTTCTAATAGAAGACCGCAGGAACAGCATCGGTTGAAAATCATTTGTAACGAGCACCGTAGTTCCCTCGTTACAACGTATCCATTGTTATTTTTTTAACAGAAATCATTATTTTTGATGCCGGCAACCGGAAGAGCGGGGAATTTTATATTGGAATATCTGTTAAAATTCAAGATCAAGATGACCGCTGGAGGTCAAATAGGTTAAATAAATGTCCAATATGTGCTGCTAGGAAAACCTCTAGAAATCTTCCAGAGATCGTGACGAAAATAAATGATGAGTAAATTTTTACAAGTAGCGGTGATCTTGAATTTAACCTTTAACTTCACCTTCAAGGTTAATTCATGGTGAAACTTTATTTTTCTAATAGAAAGCCCTATTTTTGACGCCAGCATTCGAAAGAACAGAAAATTTTACGTTCAAACACAATTAAAGTACAAGGTCAGGATGACTACTAAAGGTCAAATAAAGATCAAATGTGTGCTGTTAGGAAAAACTCTATAAATCTCACAGAATGAGTGATGAAAATAATTATCAAGGTCTCTGGTGAATTTTAACGAAGAACTGAATGCTGACCTTGGAATTCACCTTGATATTTACCTTCAAGGATATTTCAACGACAACTGTTTAATGATAATCCCTATTGTGATACCGGCAGTCTAAAGAGCGGAAAAATTTACGTCCAAGGTTAGGGAGCCATCCAAAGGTCAAAGGTGCGCTGCTAGGAAAACCTTGATCTTGGATTTGACCTTGATCCTCACCTTCAAGGTCATTTCAACGTCAACTCAATTTTTTTTGAAAATCCATATGTATGAAAAAGCGAAAAATTTTACGTTAATATACGAATCCAAGACCAGGGTCATGGTGACTACTAAAGGTCCAATGTGTGCTGCTAGGAAAACCAATATGAATGTTACAGGACTAGCGATAAAAATAAATATCAAGATCAGTTGTTTGACGAGTGATCTTGGATTTGACGTTGAACCTCACCTTTAAGGTGATTTGGATGTCGTTTTTTTCTAATAGAAACCAGAAGGAACAGCAACGGTTAAAAATCATTTGTAACGAGCACCATAATCCCTTCGTTAAATGTGTATTAAAATTCAAGATCAAGACGACCGCTGGAGGTTAAAATAGGTTAAATAATGGTCAAATATGTGCTGTTAGGAAAATCTCGAGAAATATGGCACGTCTTTAGTAAATTTTCACAAGTAGCGGTGATCTTGGATTTGACCTTGAACCTCACATCCAAGGTTATTGTAAGATCAACTGTATTTTCCAAATAGAAACGCCTATTTTTGTCGTAATTATCGCTATGTTTTTATTAATAAAATGTTGTCCAGCAAAGTTATCGAATTGCAACAGAAGAAACTTATCGTTGATTGTACAACACATACATACCTCCTTCTCGATTCCATACTTCGGTAAAGTAGTACTCCTCGACGTGCACTGCCCGCAGAACACCTGACCGCAAGCTCTGCAATGATGCTTGCGCTGGATGATGTTGAACTGAACCCTGCAACGATGGCAAACGTCGCCGTCCGCCCATTCTGGGGCCGTATCGGCGGCGAACATCGCGTCAGATTCACGCAGAACTGGAAACTTGTATCCTTCTGCTTTCATGGCTGCCATCAAATCCTGGAATTCGGAATAATTAACAATAAGTCAGCCGTCCAAGCTATTGCGAGGACTGTAAATTAAGGGGTGAGACTGGCAACGCAACGTTCCATCTGGCAACATGTGGTTTGCCTTCAGTATAGGGATGTTCCGATCCACGAAAAGTATCGATACCATGTAGCGATTCGTATCGTTTCAGGAAGTATCGATACTCTAAAATATCCTAATAAAAATATCGATATCATGAGTATCGAAACCTTTTGATACGGATACGTACACTGCCGAAAATCGGAGTAGTTTTTCTACAACCCTCAAGATAATGTTTTTCATCTGCATGACAAGATTGTCAAATAAGTTCGCTAATAAAAATACGCAAAAAACCTCACAGTTGTATAACTTACATCACCCACCTAAACTCGATTTTACAAAATAGTTCCGCAAATCACTTATTACAGGAGGCATCAATCACTATCATAATAAAGTTTGGTTTCAAACTATGATTTTAATCAATCAATTCTAAAAGCACTGTGTCTCATGTGTGTGTAGTTCCCCGAAACAGAATCCAACAGGGTTGCCAGATCGTTTAGCTCAGTTTCCCCAGTCGATATGTAAAAAACCCCTGAATTCAGGTTTAGGATTTGTTAGGTATTACTGGATCTTAAAATATTTTTCTGAGCGACATATTTGTTTGTATGTCGCTAAATACCCTAAAAGGTAAAAGTATTTGTTTAGAATCGAAGGACAAATAAATACAAAGAGTACTATAAAAGTTTTGCAATATGACTTGACAAACGGACACCGGAGACTGGATGTAGTTTAAGCATAGACCAGTGCTTACAAGAAATGGCGCTTGCATTAAAGAATGATTGTCCTCATCGTACAACTATATTTAGGGGGTACAGATAATTCCGAAGGGGCAACAACAGAGGAGAGGAAAACATCACTGCTGTGAGGAAAATGCTTGACGAAGACCGGAGAGTGACATACCAACAAATAGAGGAGACCTTACACCTTCATGCACCAGCAATTCATTCAGTTCTGCATGACCATTTACACATAAGGAAACTTTGTTCTCTCTGGGTACCGCATAGCATGACGGAAGAACAGAAGACTCGTCGTACGATTTGGTGTCGAAAGATGCTGAAAATGTTTGATAAGGGGCATTCTCGTTATATGATGAGCATCGTGAAAGGTGACGAGACTTGGCTCTATTATTACGTTGTACCGACCAAGGCTCAAAACAAAGTTTGGGTCTTTGGTAATGAGGACACACCTGTAGCTGTCAGAAAATCTCGATCTGTTAAGAAAAAATGCGGGATTGTGTAGCGTGTAGTTTTGGACACACAGAAGGCAGGAACAGAGCCTGCCTAAAGTCATAGAGTCTATGAAAAATCTGCAGCCAAAGTCAAGAATGAACACTTGGTACTCCCACCATGACAACGCTCCACCTCACCGCGCCAAGCCTGCACCGAGTATTTGACCACTACAGGACTGAAACTTATTGAGAACCCTCCTCACAGTCCAGATCTGTCTCCCTGTGACTTTGCACTGTTTCCGCATGTGAAAATGATGCTAAAAGCGAAACGATTTGCTATCGATGAGGAACTTCTGAGGGATTGGGTCAACGAAGTCAATAAATAAAGCTGTATTGCAAAACTTTTATAGTACCCTTTGTATTTAACTGATTATAGAATACGCACCAATAGTTAACTAAGCAATCGTTCAATACACCGACACCATTTTAACGATATTTTCAAGTTGACTGCTCACAGGCTTCAAAACACTAACCGTGGCACTCGTATAAAAACACAATGGAAATGAGCTCTGATAACATACACGATGCACTATTTGTTGTGTACAGATAAAAATAAACTTAAAAGCAAAACGGTGATTCTACGTCAACCTGTTTAATAATATGAATCATACATTTTCAAGGACGAATTGCTGTAATTAAGTTATATAAAAGCAGGCGTCGAATCAATAACCTCTAATCTCCAGTCGAAATAAGTTCCTTGGTGATTGTACTAATTATAGAATAGACAATAACTTAACAAAGTATGTAACGTAATGAAATGTAAAAAAAGTTATCACTGTATAATGGATAAAGATGATATAAGTTTGTCCAAGGTAAATATTTATTTTGTTGCAGACTGAAATATCTACGTTCTTAGAGATCATCAGTGCAGAATTTTAAAACACAAATGAGGCTGTGTCTTCTCAATTATTGGACATTTCATTGTTCAAATGTATATTTATGTTCTGTACACTATTATCCTCTTTTTCTGTTTTGTTTATCAGTTGTTAAACGTTGATAAGGACCTACAAATGCTACAATTGATAGAACAATACAGGGTGGCCCAAAGAAAAGATCGCACCCCTATTTGTGACTCTCCTGGTATATTTTGGGAAAAACGCTCGGACACGTCAATTTTGATTTCTAGCGCACGTCTTTTCATCTATAGCCGTACAAAACAGGGTGATCCAAAAATAAGATATTGCGTTACACTTTAGATTTTAAAATGGAAACCCTTTTTTTAATTTTTAGATTTTCCATGAAGTTTTTAGTAACTTTTGTATAATAAAGTTTATACCTATCTTCATTCGTTGTGAAGCTACTTGAGTTTATAATAAAATTCTACAAATTGTGATAATAAGGGATTATATCGTAAAAACAATAACCAATATATGTATGTCCATAGTAACAAGACTTTACTTTAAAATTAAAAACAAGTCTTCCGAGTATTAAAAAACAAAAACCAACTTACAGTTTTCATACACATTCAAGTTAAAGTAAAAATTAATTTGCTATAAAGAGGGAATGTGGTAATAAGTGCTGAAAGTGATGTCCATTTACCGACATGCAATAATAAAGATTTTGTTCGAATCTACGAGCCCCTTCCCACTTCAGTTGGCACAACTATTGAATTCTTAGTTTTTTTCTTATCAAACACAAATAATAAAAATGTAGCAGGGTTTTATAGGTTTAAAATATTAACAATGAATATTTTGATAACATATAGTAGAAAACACCAACTTTATCACTCCCTAATCAAATTTGCAGCATAAAAATAACACATGTTACAATTACAGCATATCAACCTATTTTCATTTCAATGCGAAATAAGCCTATAACGCATAGGTGGCTGAGAAAAATAAAAGCCAAGACAATTGTTTTTAATAATCACAGCTGTCAGAATACGTTTAAAATAGTTTTGGGTAGTTAAGGTTTTCAAAACGGGTAGAGAAAAGGTTATTAGTGAGAAAATTCAGTTACTGATAATTAATTTTTTAATTCTGGGAAATCAACTCAGAAATTGCAACTTTGTTAGACTTATCGCGGTACAGTGTGCGAAATATTGTTAGAAGATACAGGGTGGCCCATAAGTCCTTTGAGCTGGAAAAAAAGGAATAAAACCAAACTAGTTACATTATGAAGAATTATTATATTTTGTTATCATCTTTATTGAATGGGAATTATGTTTTAAAAATCACATCGTCTAAATGCAATCCATTACGATCACGGCACTCATATAAACGACGTCTAAAATTGTCGATGACTGCGCGGCAAGTCAATACTGTAATGCTTGCCATTTCTCTTCGGATATTTTCTTTCAGGACATCAACTGATCGCGGAGTGGTGTCGTACACTTTACTCTTGAGGTAGCCCCATAAAAAGACGTCCATTGGGGTCAAATCTGGACTACGTGGTGGCCAGGAAATGTCTCCTCTTCGAGAAATTACTTTGCTGGGAAAAAGTTGACAGACGACGGGCATAGAAGTGTTGGAGGTGTGGGCAGTTGCTCCGTCCTGTTGAAACCAGGTCTGCGTATTATAGCCTGGAAAATTCTGCAACGCTGTTGTCAAAAACTCCTCTATCATTGCTACATACCGCTCCGAAGTAACAGTTAATGCGCGACATCTGTCGTCCTCAAAAAAATAAGGGCCTACGATGCCATGCGCTGACATAGCAGCCCAAACTGTAACTTTAGGGCTGTGTAAGGGCTTCTGATGCTTACGCCTTGGATTTTCGGGGCTCCAATAACGGCAATTTTGTTTATTTACATGCCCGTTTAAATGGAAGTGAGCCTCGTCCGAGAACAACACATTATTGAGCGAAGAAAATCGATTCAACATTTCATTCGCAAAGTTTAGTCTCTGAATAGCGTCATTATCTTTTAATTCCTGCACTAACTGAATTTTGTAAGCGTGCAGACGTAAATCTTTCCTTAAAATCCGCTGTAAAGATGTTCTGGGTACGTTTAGTGCACTGGAACGCTTACGAGTAGACTGGGTAGGATTTTGACGAACAGACTGTGCCACAATGTTGATGTTTTCTTCAATACGAGTTGTCCTTGGTCGACCCCACCGCTGGTTATCTAACGTCGAACCAGTCTCTTCGAACTTAGCAACCCAGTTCTTAATCGTTTGAGCTGTTGGACACTTTGTAAAATTGTGTAAATTGTGGTATTCTCGATATTTACGCCGCGCAATGGTTGCCGAAACATTATTTTGATAAAACGCGCGCACACAAAAAGCACGATCCGCTCCAGTGAAACACTCCATGGCGACTAAATTCCCAGACACTGAAGATACTGCCCCCACCTCGCCCGCGCCGCTCACGCTCACCCGTTAAATTTTATTCAAATTTGAAATTTCAAAGGACTTATGGACCACCCTGTATAACGTAACTGGTTCAGTTGATATTAAGCCACGATATGTGAAAATAGTAATATCACAAATACCGACCGAAGAGCATTAAGAAGAATAATTGTGAAAAACAGGCTTGCCAATCATTTACAATTAAGTGCTCTGTGGAATGACGCTGTTGGAAGGAGAATTTCGAGGTCCACAACTCATAGAGAGACCCAAAATCTGGGATTTAGCACTTAGCAAGGTAAGTTTTCTTATAAAAAAAAGTGAAGTAAAAACCCTAATGTTGCACAACATGTTTATATGCCAAAGAAAAGCCACTATTAACTCCACTGCAAAAGAAAAATCGGCTTAGATGGGCTAAAGAACAT